GCATTAATATCAAAGAATAAGATAGGTGTGGCCTTACTCTACGCATTGTACTAGATCCTTAGTTAGCAGCCTGGGCATGGGAAGAGAGCAACCACACATATTAAGGGTTTGATTAAATCCAATCACAGCTGATCACTTGCTATTTGACACCAAGATTCTGGCTTCTATTTTAAATTCCACGTGCCTGGAGGGAATGTTGGAGCAGTTTCTGTCTCATGTTTCTTACGGACAAAAGAATGAGGACATGCTGAGAGACTATATACAAACATATAAAAACAAGAACCAGCAGCCAAGGCACAAAAAAGTCACTGCTAAACTTTTCCGTAAAGGGATTTCACTATAGAGAACAAGCTTTATGACATTACTTAACATGCTTACTTTTTACCTACTTGTTAGAAATCGATCTCTTTAAGTGGGATTTTATGACAGCTATTTTAAAGCATTCGCTCTTCATACTGCATCAATGGTTTGTCAGTTTTTTGGTTAATGAAAAGATTGCATCAGTTTTTAGATTCTTGTAGCCTTTGGTGGAGACCAGTCCTGTGTCAGAATTTTAAATTAAATGCAAAGAACTTGTCTTGTTTCGTAATGCTCTGATAGTGTCAAGCACGCTTTCCAACACAGTTCAATGTTATTGTGAAGGTTATGGTTTATATGGGCAGAGTTCCAAGTCAAATCATCATATTTGTCCTGGCCAAAGGGATCTGTCCTTCAACCCTCAAGTATTCAGAAAACCTCTGAAAGAATCATTTCAGGCAACAGTTAAGCCCACTGTAATACAAAGTTCCTATAACAACCCTGAACTTTTTTTTCCCTTAATAGTCACATATGACTCAGGCTTTGCTAGTTCAATACTTAACAGAACTTGTGAGACAAATATATCTCATTCAAGGCCTTTTGGGCATCTTCTGCAATTCACTGTCTGGGGAAAAAACAGTATCTGTGGAATTACCACTTTCTGCCTTACCTATAGAAATGTCATCCAGCTGTGAAGAGATTTCACATGAGAAACTCTGGTAAGTCACAACTTTAATTTACCTGCCGTCAATTTACAACTCCTTTCCACTGTCCACCACCCTCCAAAAGCTTCCATTTGTTGGCATCTGTTTATGGGATCCCTGGACCTTCAAAACCGCCATCTCCTAGTGCTAGGCCATGCTAGTGATAGCTGTCAACTTCTGGGCCTCCTGCTTCCAGGAAGATCCTTCCTAACAGTGAGGACGACTTGACATTGTTCAGATCCTGCACTTACATTTCTCACCTTGAAAGTCAGCTAGGCTGGGGTGCTGCAGTCCATAATTTCCCTTCTTCATAAGTATTGCTGTGGAGATGTTTCCTCTGTGGCATCCTGAAAAATCAAAGGGAGCAAAAGGAAACCTTTCCATCTCAGGAAGAATGCGAGTTTAAACCTCTCTCTGCTACTCCTGTCTCCTGCTGTGGTAGGTACTTTCATGCTCTGTGGGCTCCTAGGTAATGCTCCTGAGCAGCCATCTCATAGGCCTACTTTTGGAGTCTGGCAGACAGGAATCCCTTGAACCTCAACAGAGTATTGGGGAGCAGTGAACTCCCAAATGAATTTGAGATTGAGGGATTCCCCTTATTCTGGTAAGATTCAAAGATGATCCTTTTTAACTCTTATCAAGTTCATTGTCTAGAATATCAAAACAACTGGGCTCCTTCCCTCTGACAGTCGTATCCCAGTGATTTGAAGTTGGGAAGCTTTAATAGTTCACTTTAAGAAAAGCTGCTGGCTAATGTTGTGCCAAGCTTAGCTAGAACAGTTCTAACTTTTGCCAGCTGGAACTGGGAATTGTCAGGTGTCCCTCTAAAGGGGGGACAACACTGTTGTCTGTCAAGGGACAACGCTAAGAAAGGTAGCAAGTCTTCTCAGCTAATTCTAGACACTGGCATTAACATAACTCTTCAGTATAAATGGGACCTGCCAGAATGTTCTGAAAATTGTATTCAAAGTGAGACTTCAAATATCCATTTAAAACATGAAGATTTATGGTTGCTTTCTTTTGATTAAGTGAAAAAGTAGCTACTGTGTGTCAAGACACAAAGTAGTAAGAGACAGCATGAATCATCTCTCCTTGTTCATTGTGACTATTTCCTTTTGGGTCTTCAGATTTTTTTCAGCCGAATGCAGCAATATTGAGTTCAAGATAGATTTAGAGATAGATTTTTCCCCATGGACAGCAGAGTAATAACTTCTTTAGTGTCATGTCAGATTATACTCTAAGAATCATGAATTATCATGGCAGTGATAATATAGTTAGTCCATTAGGAGGTAAAATCATAGGGTTGTCAAAGTATGTTTTCCTTTTGCTGTGCTTTCTCGGCTTCTAGTGTGGAATTTGAAGTGAGATATGATGGATAGAAAGCCAGTCCCCAAAGCTGATCTAAGATTTCAAAGTATTTCTCCAACTATGATTTAAAACCTTCATGACAGAGTAATTTTTGACTGAATCTCCTGGCCTTATATTCATCTAGTTGTTAATGTCTTCTTGCACATACGTGCTGTAAATTTCTAAATCTATAGAACTGCTCATTTATTTTTATATTTCTCACTCTGATTAAATTACTTTCATGGGTAAAATCCTTCTTGTATTTAAGTTAAAAGTTTTGCCACTGCCTTCATAGGATCAGGGATTTACTTAAGCTCCCACTTTCTAAATGCATGAATAGCAGCATGGAGTAAAGGGGAGAAAGGAGAACCAAGCAGAAGGGAACCTTAAATTCGGCTTTGCTATGGAGGCAAACAAATCATGTAGTGCCAAATGCTGAAAAGGATCCTCCAATTTATATTTCTCAGTGTTTGACTACCCAGCTTTAGGAAAACTGTCCTACTTAACAAAAGCAGCCAACAATCACATCTTTGAAAATCAAGGCCTACCTATTTTAAGCTGGGTGCACAGAAAGGCTTTCATAATCACAGAATCACAGAATCGTTTAGGTTGGAAGGGCCCTCTGGAGATCATCTAGTCCAACCTCCCTGCTCAAGCAGGGTCACCTAGAGCATATTGCCCAGGATCACATCCAGACGGGTTTTGAATATCTCCAGCGAAGGAGACTCCACCACCCCTCTGGGCAACCTGTTCCAATGCTCTGTCACCCTCACAGTCAAGAAGTTTTTTCTCAGGTTCAGATGGAACTTCCTGTGGTTCAGTTTCTGCCCATTGCCTCTTGTCCTGTTGCTGGGCACCACGGAGAAGAGGCTGGCCTCATCCTCTTGACACTCCCCCTTCAGATACTTGTACACGTTGATGAGATCACCTCTCAATCTTCTCTTCTCCAGGCTGAACAGGCCCAGCTCTTGCAGTCTTTCTTCATAGGAGAGGTGCTCCAGCCCTCTAATCACAGAAAGGCTTTCATAATTAGGATACTTCTAAGTATCTGACCCTCAGTTTACCTCTTCACAAACTAGATAGAATATTTCCTTACTGAAATGACAAAAATGTAAGGAAATGTAAGACACCGTACAGGAATTCGGTATTTACAGTATGGATTGCAGAAAGGCTAGAAAATTCCAGAGTCAGGCTTGCTGAAGTTGATATTATGTTTGCGTCCCAGCTATTCTTTTCAGAACAGACTGGGAGATTCAAACACTTCAGCTTCATTTACGCAAACAAATACATAGTTAGTATGACACTATGTGTTTCATGTGAAAAAAAAAAATCTTAAAAGAACTGTTTCGAATGTTTCTCTATATAACATTGTTAAGCATGCTGATAGTTTAAATTTTCTAAATTAATATGAATCTGTGTCCCCTCTCATGTCTCTCTTTTATAGGTCATGTGCATTTTCAACTTGCTGTGTAAAGGAGTTATTTTATTATGTGTTAATTCAGGCTGGAGAAAAAATGCCATTCTTTCAAGTTAATTCACACAAGATCTGATAATAACTATTTCATAACTCTATGTCTGCATGCTTTGTAGCTGATTTTAAAATCATAAAAGTTGCATTTACATATCTCTTCCTTTTTATAGATACGACTTGACACAGTACTGTAGGTAGCATTTCCAGAAATGGAGAAGAGGGAGTGAACCACTCTAGTGCAGAGTGCTCCTGTGTATGATGGAGTTGGAGGCACTCTTGTGATTTTTGCAGGAAGGAAGAAGGAGAATAGAAGGTCACCCTTTTTAAGGTAGGCATGGGGGGGGGGGTCCTGGGTCATACATAGAAAGGAATCAGGAAACAATGTGAAAAAGGGTTGGATCTTTTTTAGCTTAGACAAAAATGAAATTTTGTATATTGATGAATTTGTTCTATGTTGTTGTTTCTAAGCATATGTACCAAAAACCATGGATTACTGTTTTGAAGGGCATATCTACCCTGCAGACAGTTTCTCAGAAACTGAATAGATGAGCTCAGATGCAGTTCCCTGCTGCTGTGTCTAGACTGGACCACGTATTTTGACAGTGCACTCTGGTTTGGAGTACAAAAACACCCAGTTACTTACTTTCAAACAGAAAGATTCACCAATCTTTGCATCAGTACCTGTTCCTTCGGCCTCTCCTTTAACCTGTGTGCCAGTATTCAAAAGGGGAAGCAAGACATCCCTAATGACCTGCAGTTCAGTTAACGCAACATCGGTCCAAAGCAAAAAGGAGGAACTGAAATGGAACTGGAGTTTAAAAAATTAAAAAGTGGGCCTATGAAAACACAAGAGTGTAATCAAAACGACTTTCATTTTTTGAAAATAAACCTTGTCAAACAAACCTGATTTAATTCTGTCATGAAAAGGTGTATTAGCTGATCAGGACAAGCATGTAGAAATAAACTGACATTTTGTTAAAAAAAGGTAGTGCTACAAAATAACATGGCACATTAGTATGTTAGTACATATTAGCTACTAACAGGTTCAAGGAAAGTTTATAAGAGATACTAAAAAAATTTGCTAATGTGGAATCATCAGTGAATAGGAGACTTTCTGGTGGGCTTCAGGACAGATCAGTACTAAATATATAATACTTTGGTATGCCATGATATTTTCGTCAATGGTCTACCAGAAAATATGGAACTATGGAACTATGGAAATATGGAATATGGAAAATATGGAAATATGTTCGATGGTTTCAGGTGAGCCGTAGTGAAGACTAGCCAGCTCTATCAACTGTCTGGATCGCAACCAAGGGAAGTAGAAGATCCATCGGTGGTTTCAAGTCTGGGCCTCCAGGAAAATGTTTTACCTATATTCAAGTTATGCTTAGCATTACACCGTTTTGGGCGGCAACTGGGTGAAACCACATATGATATACTGGAGAGCTGATCAGACGGTTCTGTAATCTAAATTATATAAAGACATGGAACTATCATCTAAATGTATAAAAGCTCAGTTTTTAGCAGTTGGATATCAAGGTAACGTATTTCGTAGGGAGAGGGCTCAGGTTTAGGGCTCTGACCTGCTGAGGATTTTAGCGCTTAACTCTTATGCCTCTGAGAGGCTACGGAGGCGCCTACACACAGTTCTTAATCTCTCTTTCTCCCAGGTGCACAGAAAACCAGTGTCCTGAGTCCCTTGTCACAACTCATCTTTTTTTTTTTTTCCTGACGTCGCCATCCACAAGGCGCTT